TTATGACATTAAATTAAATTTATTATTGCTATTGTTTAATATGTAGATATACGACATGAAGTGTGTTTCTGTTAACCAGTTCAAATTAAAGAATTGATGATAAATATAGTTGGCTCTATTTTAAATAAACTGTATAATTTCCACTTCAGAAGTTCCATATTATATGGTGAAATTATTAAGTATTTAAACCATTTGATATGTGCATAGGAATATTGTGTGCAAAATAGGACTCAGTACAAATGCCATAAAAATAATTTATTTATTTACATATTGCATGATCTGTGTTATCAATGCACTCTTTCTTCGCTTCCAATAATGAGAGTGATATATTTTTCTTACTTGGACTTCTATGCTACAATTGTCCAAGGATATTATTGTTAGCTGTTATTTTTAACTGAAAAATTCTAAAAGTGTACTAAGAGCAATATATAAAGTGTGAATGGGACACTGGATAGGGTCCAGTCTGAGGAGTAATAATTCTGTAAAGTTTTCCGACTATACACAATTCTTTTTTAGCAGTCTGTATAAGGTCAGTACACTGGTACTTACTAAAGATCTTACCATCAGCGAAGAGATATAATTCACAGAATGTTGGGGAACAGGTTTTCCCCAACGTGCCTGGACAAATTGTACACCAGGACGGGGCAGACGTGGGGCAAAGGATGATGGGAGTGCGCAGGGAAACACTTTCTGGGAGCAGCTGATGGCTGTTTACTTTCTTTGCCAACTACACACATACTATATACAGGGTTTCGACTTACAAGAAGATCCAATCACATGAAGTTTAGCTTTATTGTCCTATTACCTTTTCTTCTCTGCTTTGCCTGGGTCCCATCCCACTCAAGGCTAAAGGCTGCAGTTGGGATGAACTGCTAAGCGCACGTGACAGATTCTGCGTCTTTGGTGCATGTGACTAGAAGGCTGAGTGAGGTTCAAGGCAGAACATCCCATGCTGACAATCTGTACTTGTCAAATTTGCCCAGATATTCCCTCTTTCGAGGCTTCGCTACTGGGCTACTTTGCAAGGTCGGGTCTAATCTGCTCCAGTGCCCATTGCCATGCTTCACAATAGGCTATCAAGAATAACATGTTCCTATGAAGGGAAACTGAAACCTTGCCTGCCTATTCTTACCTTCTTAAGATCAGTGGCACAAGTGAGCGGGCAAACAATATGATATCCCTTCTAGTATATTCTTAGCCCAGGGTTCTGGAGAACCAATGACAGAGATCAAATAAATCTGATTGCCATGATGAGCAGGCAAATTATTGATTACAGTGTCTCTTCTACAGGGCCTTAGAACATAAAAATTCCTGCTTCTTCGTATCCGTTTTGTGAATCTAAATTTTTTTTTGTGGCCAACTCTAACCTAAAGGTAAAGGGATCCTGAAAAATGAATTACTAAATAAACTCAATTTACACAGGAGGATAAAGAGACAACAAATCGTTACATTGAGCTTCATATTAGGTTTCTAAATGTACACCAGGAAATGTTTGTTTAGTTGTACTTGTATAGATTTTCTGATTTCCCAGCCTTTGGAAAGCCTGCTCTCCTATCTTGGTGACCTGTTCATTGTTTGAGGCGCTGCATCTTGCTAGCAAACTCATACTATCAGCTACTATAAGGATATAATTTTTTGATTCCAACACTCTTCAATACTTTAGTAGTAATACATTAATCAACATAACAAAGAATTTATTTTAGTTGTTATTATGCTTCAATAGAAAATGCCATTACCATTTAAAAATGTGTCTCTATGATTTTATTTGGTTTTAAACTGACTGTTTCCTATTAACAATGCTCTATATAACAAGTTACTCAACCTCTGTTTCAAGTTCCCATTTATGAAATGGTAACACTAATAAGTTAACAGTTCATCTGGTAAGAATATTAAGTATTTCAAATATGTAGCATTCTTAGTCCACGTTTCTTTGATCATAAACGGTGAAGTTGACTAGAAACTTTAATCTGGCTTTTATTTTTAAATATAGTGTTATAATCAACAAAATTAATATGTGGTTGGGTCTCTTTTTGATACCATACATTAATGCTTATTTTTATAGAAGACAAGTATTTATTAAACCAGGTTTCTTTTAATTATTTTCTTTTTCTGGGGGTTTTGGTTCCACACCTGGCAGGGGTCCTGGGTGATCCCTGGTTTTGTTCTCAGGAATCATTAGTGGCTGGCTCCAGAGACTATATGAGAATCTGGGGATCGAACCCAAGTCAGTTATGTACAAGGCAAATGCCTTACACACTCAATCGATTTTATTAAAGAAAGTAGTACTGCTTTCCTGTTTTAACCTACAATTGTAAATAAAAATTAAGATGTGCATAGCCCTCATTTCCTCCCCTGACTTATGGATTTGGCCAGTGAATTTGGTCCTGAGAAATATGAGAGGGACGAACACATATATCAGCAGCTGCTTAAAACTGCTAACGTCTATATTTTCTTTTCCTTTTCTCTCTTTTTTTCCTTCAGTGATGTTGAACTCAAACATACCCACGTATAAAATATTTCCACTGATTCTGGGAACCACCACGAGCCCCTAGGTGTTGATTTTTTCATGTGTGAGTAGAGCTGGCTTGTCACAGAAACCTGTTTAAGGGAGTATTGCCCTACCCCAAATTTTATTGATAGGTGTTAACATGAGGTGCCTAGAATACTAGGCAGCTGTCTCTCCCAACTTTCAAAAAAGCAGTTGGAAATTTGGAGCCAAGTTTGTCCATATTTGACCATTTTCACCTTGTGAAGTTGTGATGGAATTTACCGCTACGCATTAGGTGGAAAACTTGAGTAACTGAACTTGATTCAGTGAGTAAAATTTATATTTTATGATCATTCTTAGAGTTGAGGAAATTATGTTTTCTAGCTTTGTTCTAAACAGATCAAAGAAGAGACTCATTTATGCCAGATTTCAATGTATATTAAATGAACTATTTTGGTGAGATTATGAGGTAACCAAAACTCTTTTTAGTTTAATTTTACCTTTAACTGGATTCAGATTGCTTTAACTGAAGAGTCAAAGGGCCCGACCTCTAATTCATTAACATAATCAGAAACACATGTAAGCTACTGACTGCCAATCTGTTTTTGAATCAATCACTGCAGGAAACATGGACTGTCTGAGAAACAGGGACAGTTTTACTGAGTGGTATTCTGTGGGTATTCTTAGATACACAGGCAGAGAAAAAAAAAATAATGAGAAGAAAAAGAAAAAGAAATTCCATAAGGTGAAATATCAAAGGCTTGCTTGCAAATCACAATCTTTCAATTATGTCAACTGATTTTTTTTAAGAGAAGGAATCATGGCAATAAGCCTCCTTGTCCTCACAAAAATTCATCTCCAAGTTCTATTTTTTGTATCATTCTCTGAACATTCTAGAGGCAGGTGAAGGTAATAGTTCGAGACACACTGTCTCAGAAAATATGTGTTCTCCAAGTAAATTGACTTTGGGTAAGAATTTAAATAGAAGTAAGTAGAGATGGAGTGCTTAAAATCTCTCTCCTGACACAGGACCGTGGTGCAAAAAATAGAAAAAAATCCTCTATTGAACTGAATCTAGGGTATGTTGAAGGTGGGTATGGGACCATCTGATCCTTAGGGACTCTGGCCAGGAAGGTTGTTATCTTTTTATATATATATTTTTTTTTGCTTTTTTTTTGAGGGGGTGGTTACACCCGGCAATGCTCAATGGTTACTCCTGGCTTTGCACTCAGGAATCACTCCTGGTGGTGCTGGAGGGACCATATGGGATGCTGGGAATCAAACCTGGGTCGTCTGCGTACAAGGCAAACGCCTTACCCACTGTGCTATTGCTCAAGCCCCATCTTTTATTTTTTAAATGCTCATAGGTTACTTTTTTAATCTGTAAAACATGTGTCATTCTTGTGTGTGTGTGTGTGTGTGTGTGTGTGTGTGTGTGTGTATTTGTCCGGAGAATGTGAATCACAAAAACCCTTGAGAAATAAATTAGATCAAGCACATACAATTCAGACTTTTATTTTCATTAACTGCTATTTGGCAAGGGAATCAAAATATATGGACATCACTAATGTTTCATGTGTGGAAATAAAAAGGCCATCTCATCTCAGGACTTCGACCTAAACCACAGATCCCATAAAATGCAAGTAAATCCCCCGATAGCATTGTTATTCAGCAAAATTATTCCACCTTTACTATTTTCCTTATGAGGAGTGATTTGTTTTACTTTGGTGCCAGGCCCTACTCATACCTTTATATGGTGGAGTCATTTTACACGATTACATGGTTAAACCTGATTATCAGTGTTATTCTCTTATTCATATCTTTAACTAGGCAGAAAGAGATTTCTCCCTGGAGACATTTTCATGTATGGAATCTTGATCATTCTTAAATTTAAATTGCTTTCTCTTTATAATTTAATTCTCCAAATAATATTTCTGCACTGTACATAAAACTTATCTGGAAATACACTTTATCTTTAAACTCATCTAAGAGTATGATTCAATTATACTACCTTTAAGCATTCTTTGTGAGGCTCTCTTAATATTACCAAGAATCTCATTGCCAACCATTTTCTCTCAAAAATATATTTTGATGAGCCATATAAAGTTTCATTAACCTAGTCCCTGATACAGTAACTGGTAGAAAGTAATTACACAATAATGTGAATGGACTGGTCTGCTATTTTATATAAAGCAGCTGAGACTAAATGGGGACAAACTTAATGGCCCAGATCTGAAAATGCCAATGCTACACTAAACCCTGTATAATTAATTCTTAGGAACCAGTATGCTCTATCCATTTTGCAGAACATTTGCCATTCCGTGCCCATCTCCCACAGCTCATCACTTATTCCATGTGCACTTTTCTTTGCTGCTAATCTTCTCAAGTGAACTTTCTCTCTCAAAGCACTTAAGTTGCTTCATATTTTTAATACTGTTGGTATCAATTGTTCCTTAACTCCCACTTTGTCCTTTTGTCTGTCCTCTTTTGAGAGTCAGAATTGAGACAGAGAGTGCTTTCTTTGGCAGCACATATACTAAACTTTGAATAATACAGAGATTAGTATGGCCCCTGCTCCAGGATGACATGCAGGTTTGTGAAGCTTTTCATATTTAAAAAGTAAATAAATAAAAGGCAGGGGGAGAACTAAGACAGAAAGACAGACTTTAGAGTCAGAACGAATTCTGCTTTAGTTTCTGCCAGCTATATCTAGGCTCCCATCAACTTCCTATTCTTGTGGGAACCCCAGTGTTTTATCTTAGTATCCATATATTAAGTAGATGTACATGATAATTGTCTCAAGAATTCACATTGCGGGATAGCATATTTTCTTTTTACTTTCCCAAATGTGTGTTTTTTCTCTCATTCTGATTTTGTTTTCTGTCCTCTCTTCAAAGAATAATTTAATAAATATTGTGTTCATTTCATTTAATGACACTGCCAAGGTGTGGTAAACACCCCTTTCCAGGAATATTTCTCCTATAGACGTATGCAAGATATACATAATTTTCTTGTTACCTATACTACGGAAAGTTGAAGTGAATTTTAAAATCTATATCTTATTTGGGTTAATGTTTTCTTATAAAATTTGTATTTGTCCCATGCCCAAAAGTACTCAGAGACCTAGAATCATCAGTAGTGATTCCCCAGGGCAATCAGGGTTAAAGATAGAATGGATGTCATGAGGTGTCAGATATTACACATATATTCTACCATTGAGTCATATCTCTGACCACTGTATAAATATTCTTGAACTCATTGGATGATTTTAATGTACATAAATATAAATCTTTAAGTTTTAGTTTTATACTTAAATTTCAGGATATGCTGACTCTACATGTTTTCCATTACTGTTTTGCCTAACAGAAAATACATTTTTTCTTTCTTCTCACATAACCGGGAGAAATTTACTTAAACTTTTAAGCTAAAAGACAATGTAGAAGTAAAAATAAAATCTCCTTTACTGTTCAAAATGTTTTTTTAATTGACATGATTTATTTAACCAAATCATACTTTAACTTTTATTGTTTCAAGTTTGACTATGTTATTAACAATATGTAATGGATATTACTGTTGCTTTAAATTAGACCAGAGAGATAGTACAGCAAGGAGCGTGAGGCTCACCTAGGTTCTATCTCTAGCACTGCATTTGCCCCCCCTTTGAGCACAGATCCACAGAGAATGGTCTAAACAAAACAAAACAAAGCAAAAAAATGTAAAATTGCTGAGAATTTTGTAAGTGTGGAGTAATACAGTTTGCTGTATTTTTAGTGTCTTACTATTCTAGGGGTGGTCTTTGGATCCTAAGCATCAGTATTCACATGAAACTCTGCTAGAAATGCAGAATCCCAGGACAAATCTTGACCCAAAGAATTAGAATCGTTATTTTTGACAAGCTCCCCAGATCATTCTCATGTAAAGTAATGCTGGAAAACTTATATAAAGTATGTGAATTCAAATACTTGAGAAACATTTCCTTAATTAGAAAAACAAGTGGAGAAATTAGAGGCAATAGTTAACTGCTGTTCATAAACTTGTGAATGGGGTACTGAAATGAGATCTTAGTTTTGAAATCGACCTTAACATGAATGATTAACTAATTGCCAGTAGAATTTATAACCAGCAAAATCTGTCATGACAAAGGAGACAGTCAAATAGATTTTTCTGCTTAGTACTGAATAAAGCCCCAGAAAAAGGTTAGTTACTACCCTGATGATAAAATGAAAAATTTTAAAAATAAATTCTGTGTGACAGATTTCTAGATTAAAAGGAAATATTAAAACTGGCTTTCAATATTTAAAGCTTATTTAACTAGTAACACTTCACCTTACACTGAGTTATGTCACTTTATTTCATATATCTTTTGATCCATTCAAATGGCTACATGGTTTAAAATACATTATCAAGTCACCTTTTTGAATAGATTAGATGAAAGGATTTTTAAATGGTGGGCAATGAACACAATGCTCAAGCTCACATAAGACAATGTTTGCAATAAATTAGTGAAATAAGCTCCTGAAAGAGAACAATGCAGAGTCTCCTACCCCCGTGCCTGGCTGTCCTCACCAGGGCCCCTTGGAGGAGGACGGGTTGAATTTCCCTCTCTGCCCTGAGCAGAGCCCTGGCAGATGAAGACCTCTGGGACCCAGCCACAGCCATGCTGAGACCACTCTCCACACACTCAAACTAGCCTCACGCATGAAGGAATCAGCAGAGGAACCCAGGTATGTGGGACCCGGGGCTGAGATCTCCAAGCCTGCTCAGTTCGGGACTGAGCCTCGTCCACTCAGATCCCCCATCTTCTAGTAGCTAGATAGTTACACCCACCAATTGCCATGATACCCCATCAATGGCCAGGATCCAGAGACTTTAGAACCAAGATCCTGGAAGCGTGTGGCCACATTTGCAGCCACGTGACCTCTTATTTTCTAGTTCTCACTCTCAGAAAACCCGGCAGGCTGCCGAGAGTATCTTGCCCGCATATATGCCTAACTGAGAATACCTGAAAAGGTAATTAGAGGCTGCCTCCAAAAGCCTCCATCTCTCTCGGAGAGCCCAGCAAGCTACCAAGAATATAACTCCCACACGGCAGAGCCTGACAAGCTACCCGTGGCATACTCGATATGCCAAAACCAGTAACAATTATAGTCCTATTTCCCCTGACCCTGAAAGGGCCCCTACTATGCCATTGGGCTACACTAGCATGTGACAGGGACAAATGGAGACATTACTGGCACCCACTCAAGCAAATCGATGAACAACAGGGTGATAGTGATAGTGATAGAGATAGTGAAATAAGCTAAAATCAGATCTTAGTACTTACTGTTTGTGTATTTGTATCTCTGTGTGTGTGTGAGAGACACAGAGAGAGAGAGAGAGAAAGAGAGAGAGAGAGAGAGAGAGAAGTGAAATACTTTTATTTAAGGAAATTTGCTTAAAGAGATGTGAGGAAATGTGTCATTTAATGCTCAAGAGAGAACACAGATTTCTCCAGAGGGGTAAAAACCAATACTTTTCTTTATAAAACCTTTATATATATATATATATATATATATATATATATAGAGAGAGAGAGAGAGAGAGAGAGAGAGAGAGATAGTACAATTTCATTGATTTTATAAAGGAAAGTATATATAAATATATAAAATGCATATATATATTCTTTCATTCAATTTCTTCAATATTGTACTCACTGATAATTGATGAAAAGTTTTATGACCATTTATTTGAGGTATTTCATCTAATATAGGAGTAGTTATCCATCACAGTTGTATTCAAGAGATCAAAAAATTGCCAAACCAGTTGTATTTCACTTTGACTTTGGGGGTGCAAAGGGCATCAAGATGTATTATCAATAAAGCAAAATTGCTCTTACTCTGATTTATTTGAAATTTGCCATTTTTTTCTTCTTTGCTTCACATTTAAAGAACTAGTTTCCTTTCCCATACTTGGTATGTAGTACATCTTTTTTTCTCTGAGTTAATTCTTCAAGTCTGGTCTGTCAGCCAGTATAAACAACACTTGATGAATGAGACTCAAGGTGTTTAGTCACCTGAAGCAGCTGTTTGAAGTAACTCTACACACAGCCTGAGGCCTGTGTTTTCACAGCTGTGAGAACTCTTCAAAAGCTTTCCCTCTTGGCCTAGCTCTTTGCTGTGGCTTTAAACTCTTAGCACAAAATCTGGACTATTTCAAAAGAGCAGAATGAAACTAGAGACAGTAATTTTGCGTGATTTTGAGCCAAATATGGCCTAAAATAAATAAATGAAGTACATTTAAAAGTGCTTTACCTAGGTGGGCTATATATCTGAGAATTGTTCTCCTTCTCTATGTCCCCATATACTCTCTTAAAAGGGAGATGTATGACTGAAATAGTATTCTCTGTTTATTTGGCAGTATTTTCATTTTCTGTTCTGATTCTATGACACCAACGCTAAAATGTGCTTGGAACTATGTGTACCTGAATTAAGCTTAGGGAACTGCTAGGTGTTTGAGAGGGTTCCAAGCTCATAAATAGACCCAAGGTGATTAAAAATTGTATCCCTTGCCAGCCTACTGAGGTGATTCAGGCTTTTGAAGTTCTCTGATGTCTTCAAGTGGACTGGCACAGTGAACTCATGGAGCAAACGTAAATGTGACCACTACATTTGTTATAAGACCTCAGACTTCCTTGAGTCTATTTTAACCACAGCTGTTTTCCTTCCCTATACATAGAATGAAAAGGACATAGCTGCTTCTCAGCAAGAATTCCCGACTTCCTTACTAGAAATGTTTTGATACAGAATGACTTTTTTTGATTCAAAATGATTTTATTACTTAGGTTTTTTTATTTATGAAATTTTTAAATGGCTATTTTTCTTTTTATAGTTACTTGACACTATACATTAACACATCACTGTTTCTAGTTTCACATGATATAAAAATTATTCCTCCAACTATTTTTCATAACTTATATACATATTTTCTTCTTCGTCAAGACCCTAAATGATCGGTTTGAGGCTCTACATGTTCCTAAAACGAACAGATACCATTGGGCTACGCTAGCACGCAACCGGGATGAATGGAGACGTTACTGGCACCTGCTCGAATAAATTGATGAATAACGGGGATTAAGTGATTAAGTGATAAGTGATATACATATTTTATTAATTTACTATGCATTGAGTGTCTGATAGGTGCCATTAATTGTACTAACTGTTGAGAATAGGAGTGGAATATACAATGGGGACATAGAGATAGTACAGTAACAATAACTACTGTGACTAACCTCTGAAATCATCAAAGACCTGATAGACCAAAGTCTGACTATGGTTTTACATAGCCCTGGAGATAAGAACAGTTTCATTTTTTGATTGTTGAGAAAAAAATAGAACACAAATATCATTTTATGGCATGTAAACATTATATGAAATTCAAATGTCAGTACCATAAACAAAATTTTAATGGAAAAGACTTTCATATACTTTATTTAATCTTTTGCCCTATAATAGGGTTGTCACAAATAATAATCAAAAAGCTCATAAATTTGAAAATACTTACTATCTGCTCTTTATCTACTTATAAAATGATTGTTCCAGGAGTTAGGGCTATAGTTCATGGTTAATTACATGCCTCAC